ATAATATAATAATAATAATATAATAATAATAATAATAACTAATAATAAAATAATAATAAATCGTTCTATAACAGTAGATTATTTATACATAAACACTTTTAAAAGCCGTTAAAAGAACTAGACTTAGAAATTAAGATTGTAGACATTATAAATATAAAAGTATTATGTTAGTATTCTTTTAATAAAAAATATTAACATATTTATTTAAGTAAAAATTTAAGCTATTGTATTTAATTTAAATTGTATTATAATGATATATTATGCTTAATAAAAATACTAATAATATTAAAATTAAAATTAGTAACTATAATTAAAAAAAATTATAACTTACACTAAAATTTTATATAAAAATATTTTTTTATAACCCTAAAAATAGTTTTGTAACAAAATTTTAATTAATTTTTTTTTTTGCTCTATAAAAAATAATTTGCATATTGCATTTAATTTTAGAATTTGATTGGTTTTTTCATTATTTAATATAACCAAATCTTTCAGTTTTAAAACTTTTTTGCCATTAAGTAAACCTTTCTACACACTTTTAATAAAAGTCAAAGCAAAATTTTTTGAGTTTAATAGTTGTAAAGTCATTAAAAATAACCCAGTAAATCATGAGATAAGATCATTTAAATCATCACATCTATATGTGTTTTTTACTAGCAAAGCAAGCCTTATTATGATTGGCTGATTTTTGAGAATCACCTCTTCATAATAAAGTAACGATTTGTTATCGCAAGAGTGCACAAAAATGATTTCGCAACCACGAATACGAATTCGAAAGGGTTACGACATAAAAATTTAGAAACTACACTTACGGTTCTAAAATAAACCAAAGTAATTTGGTAATTGATGAGGTGATTCGGAAGTTAGATGGGATGTATGTTTAGGCGTTTCAATTTAACCAATATAATCTACAGATATATTAATAAAATAAGTCATTTTTCAAAAGGTTTACATCGCTAATCTATTTTATTTATAATTCATTTATTTTTTCTAAAGACAGACACGTACTGCCAGTAAATAGATTAGTGATATGAAGCAATGAAAACATGAGGTTGCGAACTTTATAAAGGTTAAAATATAGTGTTTCGTCTATTATTAAAGCATTTAAGATCATTAATTTAGAATATAATTAAATTCGTTTGGCATTAATTAACTGTTATCATGTACGATTAAAAAATTATTTATATGATTTTTATAGTCGTTTAAAATACTGTAATTAGTTTATATTTTTATCTGTTTTCTGTGCTTTTTATGTATAATGTTTTTTTAAAAAATTGGGGATGATAGTTTTAAACTTTGAGATAATAGATTTCGTAGTATTGCGTTTATTTAGAATATAGTTTCGTAAGTATAAAATTTGCCTTGTGAATAATTTCGATTAACCAATGATATTTTTGCAATATCACGGGATGATCTACAAAAATCAGCCAATTACAATGAAAGCCCGCTATGCTGGCGTGACCCTATAAAAAAGTCGATCCGTGTTTTAGATTCCATGTTTTTTCCGTAAATGTTGTAAATATTGCATATTCACAGAATTTAATCTCATTACGGCGCGTTAACGGAATTAAGCAAACAATTGGTCACAAAATCCAACAATTTGGTCCAAAATTTAAATCTTTATATATTAATCGAAAAAAAAATTTTGATCCCTGATCTGTACCGATAACGAGTCTAACCCATCGTCCCACCCCGACGCATCTCATTAGACATATGAATGTATTAAAATGACGCATCATAACTTGGGGAATGTTTATTATCTCAGTCAAAATCTATATTTACATTTTAGTAGTCAAATTTTTTAAATCTTAGGTAGTTTACAAATGTTAAATCATGGAGACTATTTGGCTTGTTTGGATTTTGTTGATCATTTGCAGATTCAGAGTTTTCACAAAAATATATCTTGTGATTTGATCACCATTAGAATCAGAAAAATTGACTCTAAAACTTTATTTGAAGTGTATCGAATAATGGCAAAAAAAATGAAAGGAAGAGCCAGATTTCGGTATTTAATGAAATAATATAATAATTTGCCAAAATTTTATTATGAAGCCCTACTATTATAGGCGAAACACGAATTAACACTCACAGAAAACTTCTTCTCAACCTTAATTCTAACTCTAATTTTTAATCTTCAAAGAACATAACTCAGAAACAAATAACTTTAAAAAAAAACTGGTACAGATTTGTTGCTTTAGTCTAAGCCACAATTATGTTAAAATAGATTTTTAATTTTCCTATAAGATTGAAAGTTTATTTCTGCTTAAAGTTTATGAAGTCAAAGATTTGGCATCCAATATGTATGTATTTTGACCAATCATAATTGATTATGTAAAAATTAACCAATCATAATTGATTACATGATTCGCAAAATTTGAAATAATATTTGATGTCCGGTACTGTATAATACTTTAATTACTCACTAACTATAATCCTAACAAATAGTCATAAAAATATATATGGTGTTGAACACTTTCTCCGACAGGCAATTTAATCGACATCATACTGCGCGAAATTCACTAACAAACCATAACTGCAACAAATACTAAATTATCATCCTATGTGTGATGTAGGTTTGATGGCTTGTTGGAAAAATGACCGTCAGAAAGTTAAGAGACATCCACTGGTGTGATTTAATATTATTGTATTTTAAATATTAATTGGAATTTTTTGGCATTGGCATCGTGAAAATGGTAAGATAAGGATGTTTAAATAGAAAATTCTCAAGTTACACATATAGGAATCATAAAGTTTCCAGTCGACTAAATTTTTTACAATTAGTCGAGTATTGTTTTATTACAAACATGACGCCATATAAACATATTTGAATGATTAAATTAGCTAATTAGTCGACGAGTTGAATATGGTGATACATGAAAATTCAAGCCTTTGTATATCGGAATTCATCATTAAACTATACAAATTATTAGCTAGTTAATGAACAGGTCGACTTAGTTAATAAAATTTGGTAATTCCAGCTCAGCCGACCATGATTCGAATGAATTCCAACTCGAATTTTTTTGTATGAATTTACAGGATACAGTGAATGGCGATAGACACAACCGTCCTAGCATTACGTATCTTAAAAATTTCGCCGGCCAATCAAATTTTTGGATCAGGTGCAACGCGAAAAAAAAACCAAAACCGTTATAACCACTCAAAGTTTCAAATCCAAAGTTGATCCCAACATAATCAATTGTCCCAAATCCCAGGCCCCGGGGTTTTTTTGGCAGATATCCTAACAAAAGCTTTCCTTGCGAAATTTGGATATCACTGTGTTCTTCGAACCATAACCTAATAGCGAAAACAATTCTTAGCCTAATATGGAGATTTTTAGTGAAATTTTTCAGGTTGGTAACGCTGGAGTCCTAGCACAAAACAAACGCCATCTTGTCCTTATAATGATAATAGAAACTTTTGCGTTGAAAAAAAACTTTTTTATTAATAAATTTGTCGCTGCTGATGCTGAGATTTGAGGTCACTAAATCTACAAGTTCCACACCTGCTCTTTTATTAATGACTGAATAGAAAAATACTCCTTAGTAATCTTGAAATTCTTATTAAAATAGATTCAATTTTCAGCATTAGCAGCAATAAAATTTATCGTTATTAGTTGCTAACAAAAACTAACGATAATGAATAAGTCGCTTTGTCGTGATTAGAAATTTAATTATTAATTTATCTCTAACAACTAATTTATAATTTTATATTAAAGATATGGTCCACTATAAATATATTATGCTTCGATAAAATAGAAACACTATTATAATAATTGTTTTCTAACTATAGTGAAATAAGTACATAAAAACTTAATCATTTTGTTCCTGTTCATTTTTTACTACTTCTTAATCCATGTTTTCCCCATCTTGTTGTTCTCGAGCCCTAAGTTTCTCTTCTAACAATCTTTCAAGTTCTTTTCGCCGTTCTGTGGCCGCTTTAAGCTTCGCCTCGATTGCTGCATTTTCTTTCTCTTGTGCTTCAAGTTTTTTTTCTAACTGTTTCTCAAGTTCTTTACGGCGTTCTGCTGCCACTTTAAGTTTTGCATCAAGTTCCGCATTTTCTTTTTCTTGTTCTAAAAGATTTTTCCTTAGTTCATCTTCACCCAAAATTCGACGGTCGTCTGCCACTATTTTTTCAGGGGGTTCACTGCATTTTCAAGAGTTGAAATTAAGCGAATTGTATGGATTTTGGATAACCTAACATGGTTTAAATAACAGATTATTTTTCCAAATCAATATTTTCCAAATGCTTTCATATAATGTTTGAACTTTCAACTCCACATAAATGTTGTAGAATGAATATTCAACATTATTGGTGTGCGCTTAGAAAGGATTGATTTATTATGTGGTGGAGAACAGTGAACTATCATCACATCTTAAACTAAGAAATATCAAGAAAGTAAAAACTCACTTCAGTTCTAATTGCTCGAATTGCTCAGTATCCTCTTCATTTCCAGATGTCAAAGTTTGTTCTTCGAAGGATTCTTTGCTGTTTTAAAAGAAATGTAACAATTACTATAAAAAAAAAAGATAATTTAAAATTATCAATGAAGCTCACATATCCACTTGTTCAAACTCTTCGCTCTCATCTTTGGTATCAGATACCAAAGCTTGTTTCACGAAAGTTTCATTTTCTTGCTGAGCTTCGGCCATGAAATTGTTTATTTGATTTTATTTTATCTTTATTTATATTATAAGGTGGACGGGCGTTTGCCGCAGTATCTTATTTATGCATAATACATTTTTATGCAATACTCTGGCGTAAAAAACTGTAGTTGCACGATGCAATGTATACTGTATAAATTAGTCCTAAAC